ACCATATCAACAACCGCCGCTTTTTGGGCGGGACTGACACGGCAACAAAGGACGGACTTGCAGCGCCGGCAAAGCAACAGGAATTTCTGCCTCAGGGCATCGTCCAGCATCAAACGAAGACAGTCCCCATCGAGGACAAGGGCATGGGTCGATGGGGGTGGCGAGTGGTCCTGGCGTGCCGCGGCTAATTCCTCGTCCGAGCCAGTAATTCCGAACTGTTCGAGTTTGCTGTCCAGCTCCTTGGCAGCCATATCAGAATCCGGAGCACTCAATACCATGATATCCATGTCGTTGTTCAGAAGGTTGCAGGAGTAACCGATATTGATGGCCGTTTCGACCTTATCACCTGTCAAGACCCAGAGCTTGATACCGGCGTCAGCCAACAAAGAGATGGTATCGGGCACACCATCCTGCAGCCGATCTTCAATTGCCGTGCCACCCAGGAGCATCAGATCCTGTTCAATGATACCTGCGACCTCATCCAGTTTCTCTTCACGATCCACAATGGCTGCTGCTGCCACGTCGTGCTTAAGACTCCACTCGCGGTAGAATTCCTCGTCGAGAATACGTTCTGCCACGCAGAGCACACGGAGACCTTCTTGAGCGAAGGTCTCAAGATGCTGTGAGGTGACATCCCTCAACTGCCGTTGTTGACCAGGAGCCAAGCGAGAGTAAATGACCGTGTCAGCGCCCTTACACAACAGACGGATGGTTCCGTCCGGCATCTGAACGATGACACTCATTCTCTTACGCGTCGAGTTGAACTCCAAGATGTTCAGAATCCTATAACTGCGTTCTTCGCCCATGATGTTAACAAGGAGCCTATCTCCCGAGCGACCCATCGCTGTGAACCCACAGTCTCGAGCAGTAGCCACCAAGGCAGCCTCATCGGGAGACTGGGCTTTGAACTCAATTTGCGGGGGGTCACCCGGAATCCGTTCCGTAACCACTGTGTGGCACAAAGCCAGCGCGGCCATGAAACTCTCGACAGCCTGCTTCTGGGCATCACCGGACGCACCCCCTAGGTCCGCTGCGTACTGAGGCGAGACAAAGGTCAGATTTTCGTCCTTGAGATATGGGTTGTCGTGCAGTTGACGCAGTCGCTGCAGCATTTCCACGCGACCGTCGCTGATACGTTGGCGAGCCTTGGCAGCTTCCTCCTCCACATTCAACAACCCTTGTCGTCTCTGCATTCCCAATTGGGCCTCAGTATAGGCCTCACCGTATGCGACGCCGTTGACCGTACATTTCTTGAACTCCATGACGTTTTGCGTCAAAGTACCTGTTTTATCCGAGAAGATATACTCGATCTGCCCGATGTCATCTGATATGTTCCAGGCCTTTGGGACGCAAGACATCTGAAGCCGCTCGTAATACATGTGCTGGTCAAAGAATATAAAGAGCGCTTGGATCCAGCGCACGATTTCCAGTGAGATGTACAAGGCAATGGGAACCAAGTTCTGAAAGAGAACCACACCCACCCAGAAGGCAACGACACCCTCCACGGCGGGGGATCCACCATAAGAGCCGTATTCAAAGAAAGTTAAGGACGCGTCATCCAGTCCCCAGGCAAAACCGTTGATAAAACCGGATATCAAGCACATGATAAAGAGGATCGCAAAGTTGTAAAGAACGTTCCAGTTCATGTTACGTGCCATTTGTGGTCGCTTAGTCGGAGTGATACCCTGATTCAGCATGATCTTTGATTCCGAACCGGTGAACAAGGCCACACCCAACGCCCACTCTGTGTTCTGAAGGCTGCAGCCACGGAGGAGAATATTGTTTATGGTGATGGGCTCTACCCGTTCCTGGGGCGGCGCCTCGGGGTCGTCTTGTTGGTTATAGTAAATGGCACCGCTGAAAGAATAGAGATTCGCATGCGGGGGAGGGCTTTCTATAACGAATTCCGCTCTTTCACAATCGCGAGCATTCCGTACTGCGCGACCACAGTTAAGGGCATGGCGAACCTTCAAATTGGTCTCCCCGTCCAGGTTTTTGGTTTCCACATAGCAGGCACCGTCTGGGTCAGAGGTTGAGAGAATCACCATGTCCGCGGGAATCTGGTCACCGTTGTATAGCCGCACAAAGTCACCGACGTTGACATCCTTCCAATGTTGACGCTTAAAGCGAGCCTGCCCGGAAGCAGTCTTGGTCGGATTGAGGATGTTGCCCTTGACGCGGTCCGAGGCCGCATTTCTGCCGGAATGATCTGCATGATCCGGCCAATCTCCAGAAGCACGGGCATCGAGGGACACGGCCCTCAACTCAATCGGCGAGGTGGGTTCCACGGATGGCCGGGCATCCGCCATCTCAACATCTCCCGCCACGTCTTTGTCGACGGACTTGCGGCGCACGAGCTTTTTCATGGCACGGTAAGTGAATACGGTGGTCCGAGTACAGGCCTTTTTGAACTTCCGCCAGGCGGACACATTGTCAAGGGTGACATTGACATTGTGCCAATCGGTCAGACGGTAAACCGGGGAATTGTTGAGTTCGTTATCGGATACCGTTCGCCTCCAGTCCTCGATAGCATCTTTGATCGAAGTGACCACGACGATAATTATCAGGGGAACAGCACTCAGGCCCGGGTCGGCATCTCCGAAGATGGAGAAACACTGCAGAATGATGACGAATAAGAAGTAAAGATTAGCGATGTTGTGGAACTGCAACCACAAGTTCTTCGGGATGAACGTCAATGGCGTGTAGATAGAAGTGCGAATCTTGTTGCGGGGATAAACGTTCTTCAGATTGCCTTCCTCGTCCCGCTCGCTGTCCGGGATGGGAAGGTTAAAGTAGACTTTCCGCGACGAAGCTGTTTCTGTTTCATTGCTTTCTGGCCCTGCGGTTGCTGCATCAGTTATGTTGTTCCGCGTATTACGACGGTTGCCCCGTTCCAGGATGGAGACTCTCTTCCGAAGACCGCTGGCGGCGGTCATGCGTTTTGTCGCCCATCGTGCGCGCTTGGTGGATTTGGCTTCCTGGTCGGGAATCGGAGGAACCTCGTCGGAGGCCCGACTCAGTTCCTCGTCCCCTTTCCCTTGTATGGGATCCATTTACAATGGGTTAAATTCCCGGACTATGTTCAGCGGCGAGCGGCAATCATCGGATCGGTTAGGACGGAGGGACCCTGCGTGAGGCGGCCACGCAGGCCTTCGGGGAGCAGCAATCGCAGCCGCGCAGCTAATTGACCGGATGCCGAAGGATAGCGGATTTAAGACAGGGAGCAGAAATTCGTCGCGATAGTCTGCTCCAGACCCGGTCGCTTCTTCGAACCTGACGAACGGCGGGGAGGACAGGCGGGGGGCAAATGTCGTTCGCGAGATCGCAACGATCGGAGGGTTCGGCGAGAGTAGCAGAAAACCAAGTGTAGCGGAGCTGGCAGGGTAGATCAAGGGCGGACGGGGCTTGACGCGCGTATCGGGAGTGGGTGAGCGACGCGGGAGGTATCGAGGGGCAGTCGAGCGTCAGCAACAGTAAGATGCCAGGAGGTGGAATGCGGAGGGAGGTGGAGGGAGTCAAAAGAGACAGGATGGCTGGCAGAAAGGCCGGGGCTGGAAGGGAAGGAGGAGGCAGTGAGAGTAATACTACTAGTAGTGAGAAGAACTACTAACTAACTAGTCAGTAGAGTGAGGAGGCGAGCTCAAGCCTGAGCCGGGACTGACCGGCGACGGGCCCCAATTCGTGGATGCCGCACTGAGGCAACCCGTCCACTAATCCCCATTGAGCCACTCACAAGCCTCCATCTGGTTAGTACGGGCGCTGACTCAGTCCTTCCCCCGGTCGGCTTAGTTAAGCTGAAGGGGCTTCTTCGGCTTTTCTCTCGCCTTCTGCCTTTAGCTTCTACTCAATTTGGCTCGGATTTTAAGGTTTTCCTTCCCATCTTCCGCTATCCGTTCTGTTCTCGGAGTCGGGGTGCCGGAGTCAAGTAGGGTCAAAAGGATGAAAAAAAGGTTTGGCTCCAGTGGCGGTTTCCTTGTACCCTGGATCCGCAAGGCTGGGTCGACGTCGATTTTGCTGCTGACGGCTTGCTTAGTAGTATTAGCAAGTCACCAACACGAGGTACTATCCAGCATCCGTCCAGTGCTACTGTAAATTGCGTTGCCCCTCTGGACGACGGGGCAGTGTGCTGCTTATCAATCCGGAAAGGACCATCTTGCCTCATTCAGTATTCTCTTGCGCGGAATATCCGCCGTCATAATATTAATGCAACATTTATCCAGTACTAGTTATTGCTTTCGCTTAGCCAGCTCGGATCCGAACCGATGATCACTTTCTCAATGCAATAATTCATGATTGCTGCTCTGGGAGAGAAGGCTGCCTATATTATAATACTACTAGTAGTCATACTAATCACACTAATGCAATGTATCTCCATGGGAATTGGATGTGCCTTGCGCTCAGGGCAGCAGGGTTGATGTGGTAATCTGCAGTTGCATTGAAAGAGTAGTAGTCATCTAAATATATACTCTCGGCGAGGAGTTGTCACAGCCGCATAGGGATAAAGGGAGTACTACTAAGCTGATGGAGACTACTAGTAAGCATCACTATTAGACTCTGTTGACTGGAGATAGAATGTTCTCCTTAGCAAAAGTAAAATAATATTATAATTATTAGCCAACGTCAATAGTTGTTCTCCATAGCAGCTGCATATTTCGGGGCCTCTAGTCATGCGTTTCAGCTGACCGCTTACTTTTATAGTACATTCTGCCGCAAAAATATATGCAAGTACAACAGGCAGTTTGAAGCAACGCTTGAAAATTTAGATTAATGTGCTGTTCCTGCAGACGTACTAGATAATCATCAATCGCCTGAATCAAAAGCACCCTATTAGGTTTGAGGGCTTTCCAGCTTGCTTCTTTAGACAATTTTTTCACCAATTGCGAGCAACAGTAACAATCATGAAACTGCAGGAAGAACTAGCACACCGCCTACCGACCGACATCATCATTGTTTACTCTTATTCCCATCGTCCACTCTTCCCCCCCTCCCCCCTCCTTCTCTCACTTCCACTGTCCAGCATCTTCAATTCCCTTGGCAACCTTCCGGGCTCCATCTTCCACACCGCTGCCCACACTCCCCAGTGCATCGCCAACAGGCTTCCCCGCGCTCCCTGTGGCGCCGGTGATGGTATCGCCGATACCTCGCCCCGCGGCGCCTGTCACCCCGCCAACAGTGCGAGAGACGCCGCCGACCGCGTTGCCGAGGGTCGATGTGACGAATTTGGCCGCGCCAGTCACTCCGGAATCCTGATTTCCAAAAGGCATGTTCACTGCGGTCTGCTAGATATTTCAACTGGTGATGGTTTATTTGCTGTACGCAGAATCTGACAAGTATCTGCTGGTGGAGCTTATGGCTCAGTAATCAATCTCTACGGGAGTGGGTCTGACTGGTCTGACTACATACCTCAGAAGCTGTCACGTTCAGATGGGCAGCAACTCGCAATGATGTGCATCTATGACCGGATATGCCAGATGGCATCGCGAAGATATACTGTCTAACTAGTCTAACTGCTACCTGCTAACCAACTAACCTAGGTGCAGTGACCCATGACGTCAGTGGAGTCTCGGATGCACTGCTGTTTCCATTCCTTCCCGCGTGCTTTCTGGACGCGCGTCCACGACCCATCCCACAGATATTGGACTCTTGAACAAACCAGAAGCACAAAAAGGGATCAAACGAACAGCTTACACTTCTAGGGCAGTCTGCCACTCTTCGTGGTAATAGTACGACGAAGTGGAAATTGAAGACGCCTCCGTCGACCCGCCGCATAATACTTGTTTACCGAGCCATTTCGAGGATCTGCAGCACACCAGCTCTGTCCGGCAGGTTCCCTTTTTCTGCCAAGACGTCGGTCAAAGTCATATCGGCAATCTTGTGCAACTGCTCGTCACTGGTCACGTTGACCTCGGACAGCCGGGATGGCATCCCCAGGAGTTGCACAAATCGCAACATAGCGTCAGCGGCTTCAGTCTCCTGGAACCCCAACACCGAGTTGAAGATGTCGAGAATTATCTCCTGAGCAGCCGCGGTTTGAGGCTTGGTGTATCGCAACGTCGCGGGTAAGATGATGCAACTCTACACACAAAACGTGAAAAGGTTAGTCGACTGCCTGTCCACAATTGGTGGCTCTCTCGGATTTAGTTACCGTTACTCCTGAACATGCGTAGAACGGTTAGTGGCTTTCTACTTTCCGCAGCTTGAAGTGGTTTCTGGATCACTTACCATGCTGCACACCAGCGACACTTCCCTGTTGTGCAGAATTCGGTGGTTAGTAGTCTTTATCGCAGTACAGTCAATGTAGATGCGCCACCAAAGAGCAGACTCACAAGTTGATGGCCGATCGCATGGCTTGGCCCCATATGAATCTTCCATTGAATGAAGGGCAGAAGAGCGTCTCGTGAGCCGCGCTGACATTCCGAAATGCCTTTGAGCAATTCCTCTTCATCATGCTTTTCCTGACCGGTGTGATAATCCTTGAGACCCCGGATCAGGATTGGCAGCGCTTTCTTGATGTGCTCCGTGGCTTCCTCGTGGCACTCAGGATTGCACAGTGTCTCCACGAAATGATCCACAGCCCGCACACCCGACGCCAGCCACAGGTGTGAGGGCATGGTACTGGCGATCCGCGGGTCCATCAGGATCAAGCTCGGGGATCCCTCGGGATGCACAAAGTGCTGTTTCTTGCCCTGAGCATTGGTGCCGCTGGCATAGTGGTTCCACTCCCCAGCGCTGAGACTGGTCGGCACGCAGATGAGCTTGGTGGTGGGTGCTTTGATCCCGTCGGGGCCAGCCAGACCGTAAACCTGATCGACCAGGGCTTCCATATCGTCAGTGCCGAAGCCGGCTGGGAGAGTCGCACTGAGCATGACGGCGATCTTGCATGCGTCGGAGTAGGAACCGGACCCGATAGAGATGACGGCCTGAATGCCCTGTGACTGAATGGTATGGGCAATATCCATGATGTCTCGGTACGGGGAGTGACTTCCCACTCCCGTTTTCTTTTGTAGCACACAATGGGATAGCCGAGCCTCCAAGTCTTTGATCATGGACGTTTTGGTATCGAGGGTTGTGCTCACGACTAGTAGGATGCGAGACGCTCCCCATTCCTCCAAGGCGGCCGGAACATCGTCCAGGTAGGAGGCCTCAAAAATGGCATCGTGGCCCTCGCGACCGTCTAGGTCGAGTTGCTTGATCCTCTGTCGCATGGTCTGGGCGCGTGAACTTGGTTGAAGAGGTGGTCGACGAATTGATTCTATTGGGGACGAGTAGTACGACGGCAAAGCTTGGATAGGTACTAGTTCTGACACGTCTGGATGAACATAAACCGGATGCTACGCGGGGTACAAGTAATCGGCAATTTCCTGTGTGCAGCCGCTAGTCTAGTAGACAGTCAGACTGGACTGAACTAATCCATACGAGGTTACTAACGATGGATGCTCCCGGGAGGCCAAGCCTCAAGGTATCGATCGGAGACACTGGTTGGAGGTACTGGTACAACACATGGCCGTGGTGCAAATTGATGCACGCTTAGAAAAGATGCTTCACTGTCTCAGGTTTCAGGCTTCAGGGCTCAGCAATCCTGGAAACCGCAAGATGATGCAGTGCATGCTGGATGGCAAATGCATCACAATCCTTATCGCTTATCGGACCGCCTTTGCCGATGAGGACCGGCTGGGAATAACATCATAACTTCACCCCTACCACCGCCAGTGATCGCTCCAATGAGCGCCTCCAAGTACCACCCATTCGTAGGAAGACAGCCTGATTTTAGCTCAATGTCTAGACCCTGAATCTGGTGGATAAGAAGCCTGCAGATTTCTAATCATTCTAAGCACCGGATGGATCTGGGGAAGAAAGTGGTCACGGTGACGTCTCGGTCGCAACGTCATGGTTACGTGCCAGACAGCCAATCCGACCACCCCCATTACAGAGTATGTTTGACTGGCTCACAGAACTGGGAAGCGCTCCGATGATCATATATCGTTTATACATAATGTACGCTCGCCCCCCCGGTCGCTGGAATTGTTTTGTGGTCATCCATCAGCTTTTATCGAATTCCCTACCACTGGCTTTATTCACAGCAACCCCCACAGTATCACCATGGCCACGGTCATTGCCGAAGGGCTTGAGAAAGCTCACGAAGCCGTTAAGACGGCGTCATCTAAGAACAAGAAGACGGTCGACTTGGAACGCAACCTGGTCGATGTCACCACTGAGCAGCGTCAGACCACCGACCACGGCGTACCCATTAGCAATACCGACAATTGGCTGCGGTCAGTCGACGACCGTCGCACAGGTCCATCGTTGCTAGAGGATCAGATTGCGCGCGAGAAGGTACTTCGACATGCCTGCGCTGATTATCGTGGAGAGGTATGCAGTGGCTGATCGTATCCTAGATTCACCGATTCGACCACGAGCGGATTCCCGAGCGTGTCGTCCATGCCCGTGGAACCGGCGCTTTCGGAAACTTTAAGCTACTCGAAAGCTGTGAGGACGTGACCTACGCCAAGGTCCTAACCGACACATCGCGGAATACACCGGTCTTCGTCCGCTTTTCCACCGTGCAGGGCAGCAAGGGAAGCGCCGACACGGTGCGTGATGTTCGTGGATTCGCAACCAAATTTTACACAGACGAGGGTAATTGGGACCTGGTTGGAAACAACATCCCGGTCTTCTTCATCCAGGACGCTATCAAGTTCACTGATTTCGGTACGTCCATCCCAGTCCATTTTCTTATCCCTGACTTGACTAATTGGCGCAGTCCACGCTGTGAAGCCTGAGCCCCATAATGAGGTCCCTCAAGCGCAGACCGCGCACAACAACTTCTGGGACTTTTGCTATTTGCACCCAGAAGCCACTCACATGTTCATGTGGGCTATGTCGGACCGCGCCATTCCACGGTCCTATCGGATGATGCAAGGGTTTGGTGTCAACACTTTTTCGCTTATCAATAAGGAGGGCAAGCGCCACTTTGTCAAGTTTATTTGGACGCCTCACCTAGGCGTGCATTCATTCGTCTGGGATGAAGCTCTGAAGCTGGCGGGTCAAGACCCGGATTTCCACCGCAAGGATCTGATGGAGGCCATTGACAACGGCGCATATCCGAAATGGGACCTGTCTATCCAGACCATCCCTGAAGAGAAACAGGATGACTTCGAGTTCGACATTCTCGATGCGACCAAGATCTGGCCAGAGGATCTGGTCCCTCCCCGCACCATTGGTGTGTTGGAACTCAACCGCAACGTGGATGAATTCTTCCCACAGACAGAGCAGGTTGCATTCTGTACATCACACATTGTTCCCGGTATCGACTTCTCCGATGACCCTCTTCTTCAGGGCCGTAACTTCTCCTATTTCGACACCCAGATTAGCCGTCTCGGCATCAATTGGGAGGAGTTGCCCATCAACCGCCCCGTCTGCCCCGTGCTGAACCACAACCGCGACGGTGCCATGAAACACCGCATCACTAAGGGTACCGTCAACTACTGGCCCAACCGCTTCGAGGCGGCAAAGCCGGACGAGCCTGCTCCCCAGGGTGGCGGCTTCGAGTCATACCCCGAGCCGGTACAAGGCCGCAAGAGGCGCGCGTTGAGCCCCAAGTTCCGCGAACATCATTCCCAGGCCCAACTCTTCTACAACTCCATGTCGGAGCACGAGAAGCTGCACATTGTCAAGGCTTTTGGGTTTGAGCTCGACCACTGCGATGACCCAATCGTCTACGAGCGCCTGGCCGGCAAGCGCCTGGCGGAGATCGACCTGACCCTAGCGCAGCAGGTGGCGGAAGTCGTGGGCGCCCCGATTCCTCAAAAGGCCCTCATGGCCAACCATGGCCGGAAGACGATCCATGTTTCCCAGACCGAATTTCCCCCCAAGTCTCCGACCATCGCCAGTCGGCGCATTGCCATCATAATTGGCGACGGATACGACCCGGTGGCCTTCAAGGGCATTCAGACCGCTGTAAAGGTGGCGGGTGCTCTGCCGTTTGTTATCGGCACCAAGCGGTCGCCCATCTATGCCGACGGGGAATCGAAGGAGACATCGCAGGGCATCATCGCCGACCACCAGTATGATGGACAGCGATCAACCATGTTTGATGCCACGTTCATTCCCGGTGGCCCGCATGTGGAGACGCTCCGGAAGAACGGGCAGATGCGGTACTGGATCGCCGAGACGTTTGGCCACCTGAAGCCACTGGCTGGCACAGGTGAAGCGGCCGAGCTAATCAAGGAGGCGCTGGGTAGCGTGCTAGACGTGCAAGTGGCCACCAGCTCCAAGCCACAGCCCGTGGAATGGTATGGCGTGGTCACGGCTGGTGGCGTGCAGAAGCCGGAGAGCTTCAAGGAAAGCGTGCAGATCGCGAAGGGCGCCAAGGATTTCGTGGGCATGTTCTTCTACCAGATTGCGCAGCACCGGAACTACCAGCGCGAGTTGGATGGGCTGAGCTCGACGGTCGCCTGGTAAACAGCCTCAATCCTTTTAACTCGGATGAGGGTGTAAATTGTAATGATGGGATGGTCTGTGATCATGAGAAATGAGTAATTAATTGTCTGCAAATGTATGTTAGGATAATGACTACTTAATGCACTTATCAGAAGGATTGAAGCATACCTCGTAAGAGTAACATCTCACACCCCCGAATCATCTTCGCGATGGGTCAAGTACATTACAAGCGGATGAATTGTATCACGTCGGGGCGCCCCTGACTGCTAGTAGTAAGCACTTACCTCGCTAACACAACATGTGTGTAGCAACCCTGCAACAGGGGCTAGGATAGAAGATCCAGGATGCGAATCTTTATACGTATTACAACTGGTTATCATCATTGAAGTTTTTAATTCAGTGTTATGAATAGTGGTCCAATTTAGTAGATAGCATCCGACGCTCCCAACCGTCAACTCAAAGATCAATACGTGTTCAAAGCGTCGCAGATAGATGAATATGCGTCGATAACCTAAGTTGTTATAGTTAAATTACATATCTAACGGTCTACAGTACACAATCACAACTAAGATCCGACCAAAAGTAAATTAATGCCATCCGTCTGATATACAGATACTACCCCGCTCTACTAACTCCATATTCTCAATCGGGCGACAGTAAATAGATCGACAATACATTACATCTACAGTGAGAGTATGTTGCACAGTATCGTTCCTTGTGCAATGAATTCTGCAATTCAGGGGGGAAAGTGTGGTTCCTGCAGTCCAAAGTAAGAAAAAGGGAAAGGGCAGTGCCAGCCACTCAATTTCGGCTTTATCAGGGAATACGAAGGCGCGGAGTTTAAAAAAGGTGGGAGGGAGGGTTCATTCTTTCCCGCATTGAACAAAGAGTCAATCGTGCTGTGTTGATTGGGCGGGGAGATAGAGAGTTGAAAATAAGTACTAGGTATGAAGTTGGTTAGTCTCTATTGAACTAGTTAGTTATGGCTAGTTACAAAGTGGTTAGATGGTTAACCGCCAGGCTTGATAAGGCGCCCAGTGGAGCCCCCTTGCGTCGAGCAAAAACAAGTTATCGTGTGAGGATGACGAATTCTAACATTGATAAGAAAGGAAGCACAAAGTGCGACGTGGGAAGCAATATAGGGAGGTCTACTTATGGGGAGAGAATAGAATGGGCTGATGGGAGGGAAGGGACTGTTAGTATCCTGTGGCAGTCGAGATTTTGAGTTTGGACCTGAGCAGTTGAGGATTGAATTATTATTATTATTATGCATGGGGGAATCTCTGCCAAGATGAAACTACGAGAAGTGGCGGTGCGAGGAGAAGAGAAATTAATTGATTGGAGAAATGGAGAAACAGAGAGTGAGTAAGAGCGAGAAAGAGACAGAGGGAGTGTGATTCTGACAGGTCTTTCCCACTCTACCCTACTTTTCTTTCCTTTTTTTCCTCATATTCTATCCGCATAAGCTAATAGCCCCATGCGTTATCAATCGAGTGTCTATTGGTCCACGCTGCATCCTGTCCACCTGAAACCAGCCCAATCCTGCGCCAGCATCAATTGCCTGTCATCAGAAACCTCACCATCCCCCGTTTGCCCCGTTCCCTGGTTCCTGACCAGCTGGCTATATATAGCATGCCTGTTTTTCAAAATGATCCAAAGTATTGAAAAGTCGCCCACTCACAGACCATCGGGGGATCTGCTTGACTTAGTGTACTAGTAAGTAGTAGCAGTAGTCGAGTTGGTGTTGTTGTTATTGTTGTCATGTAATGGATCCGGTTCATTCTCCGGGATTCTCTTTGGGGCGGCTAAGACTGAACCGAACTGAACCCCCGTTGATCGAAGATTCGGTCATCTCGGCCATAAACTAACTAGCAGTATTTGTGAGACACGATGGCAAACTGGATACCCATTAACACTTCTATTTAACCAGGGTCTCCTCCGACATTCCTCTGTCTGTCTTGATTTCTTCTATCATTCTTCTATCATTCTTCTATCATTCTTCTATCATTAAATTTCCAATTGATACCCTTTCCCCTTCTTAATCTATCATCTCTACAACCATGCGTCTCTCTTACGCCGTGTCTCTTCTGCCTCTGGCTGCCTTCGTCGGCGGTTAGTCTACACTCTTATCTTCCCAGTCAATTCTCCGATACAGTCATCTAACTTCTCACTAGCTCTTGAGGTCACCTCCCCCAAGAAGGGCGAAGATGTCGATCTCTCCAGCTCCTTCACCGTGACCTGGGATTCCGTCTCGTATGTCCCGTCCCCTCTTTGCCTTATCAGCCCTAAATCACACCACATACTAACCACCATGCACAGGACTGACCCCTCCACCTTCGACCTCTACCTGGTCAACAACGCCGTCTACCCCACTGTAGAGAAGAAGGTCGCCTCTGATGTCGACACCTCCAAGGGATCCTACACTGTGTCCGGCCTGTCCGGCGTCACCGATGGGTATGTTCCTCCACTTCTCTACACTTCATCCACCATCACCACCATACTAATAACGTAAACAGCTCCGGCTACCAAATCAACCTCCTCTCCACCTCCTCCACGAACAGCGGTATCCTCGCGCAGTCCGAGCAGTTCACCGTCGAGGGTGCTTCCAGCTCCACCACCACCGCCAGCGCCTCCATGACTACCTCCGCCTCTTCTTCTTCCTCTTCCTCTACTGGCACTTCTACTGGTACTGATACCTCCTCCACCTCTTCTTCATCCTCCACTGGATCCAGCTCCATCACCACTGCAAGCTCCAGCACAAGCTCCACCTCCAGCAGCAGCACCAGCAAACTAACCACTACTACCTCGGGCGCTAACACTTTGTCGACTACAGCATCCTCCACTCGTTCTGCCTCTGCCTCGGGTACTTCTGCTGCCTCTGCCAGCGGTACCGAGACTACTGCCCCCGTCTCCACCGGCGCCGGTATGGCTCTTACTGCGCCGATGTCTGTTGCTGCGGGCTTGGTGATGGGTGTTGTGGCTATGCAGTTGTAAACCATCCCCAAAGCTTTCTATTTGTGGATGGCTGAGATGTAGTGCGGTGGGGTGAGGATGTGAATGAGTGACGGAGTTTCTCTTCTCGTCTTATCACCTAATTGGTGATTTGAAAGCAATGCCGCAGTTTTATTGCTTGTATAGATACATACTTTCTAGCCAAGCTAGTTATTACTTAATGGTTCTATAGCATATATCCATTACATTACTTTATATTATCACCGAGGAAGATCCCTGTAGATGGTATCCGTGGTTCGGCATTCTTTCTACAAAGTAGTAACGTAGGGTTCAAGCTGGATGGAATGGATTAAAATCCTTGGATTGTTGGTTCCGTTCCATGCGACCGGTCGAACCATGTGCGGTGCACGTTAGGCAGCGAGAGAAATATTGAGAGAAAAAGGATTCCCATGGCCCGGCAACTCCTACCGAAGAGTAGGCAAGGTAGATAGAATTCCCAATTCAGAACAAGTCCGAGAGTGAACCCAATTACTACAATGTGCACCTAGATGTTGATGATCCATGGGTCCCTCGGCGCTGGATGGACCCTTTCGGGAATGACCCCGACAGTCAGACACAACCCAGACCCTGTAGGGCATGGCAAATACCAGAAACTTTAGTTGTACTTGCCGGGAATTGAAAAATACAGGTAGGAAGTTTCGGATGTTGGTCACGGTATTGTTACCGTGTGTCGGGCAGCACCGAATGGGTTACTGCTTTGGGTAAAAATGGTGCTAAGTGACCCCACGGACCAGTTCAGAATCTTTTTCTTTTACTTTTTTTTTTTGTCACTTCGCTTGGATGGATGGATAATTTTTGGGTGAGATTGTGTCTTATGTCTTGGGTTATTTTTGTGTGTGTTTTTCTGTGCGTGTCTTGGAGTTATTAGAATAGATGGAGTTGTTTAAACTAGTTTGTGTGGATATATTATTCTAGTGTTGTCTGATTATCTTGTCACGCTGTCTTACTATAGTAAAACTAGTCTGATAAATAGTTACATATTGAGAGTAATAATATACATCATGTCTTAGAAGACATGGATACTAGGGCCAATTTCATTCCATTAATGGTCCGTCCTAAGCCAGCTAGCATGCTTGACTACCATAGATATCGACGTCACTATTCCAATATCCCCTGTGTCAGTTTCAAACATCTACCCAAATCCAGCAAGAGTAAAGATAGAGACTTACAAAGGCTCCTTCATACATCCTCGGCCATCCGCCGCACTATCCACCCAAACACCCACCCTCATCCCCTGGACCGGAAACTCCCCGTACCCCATCTCATCAATTACCGTGACAGACGGGTGATCATCGTCTCGCTGCAGCAGATCCGTCCACTTCTCGCCGGCATGTTTCCGACCCACGTACATGCGCTTCGTGGCTGGTCCGCCGTTGCTCATGACGCAGGCCAGCCCGGAGGGGTGAGCGGCGTTGCCGTAGCGGATGAAACCTTTCATTTATTAAAAACTGCATCGTAGAGAAGAAGGGACGGACTTACCAATGCAGTTGGGCTGGTCAAAGTAGTCTTGCTGTTCACCGTAAGCATACCATTTGCGCGCACGAATGAGAATCGGGAGTTGGCCTTCGCAGGCCGGGACTGGAAACTGGCCACCGTCGCAGCTGCCGTAGAGGTCGCCGTAGAAGACACATGGGTGGCCTCCTTGGCGGAGGAGGATTAGGGCGTAGGCGAGGGGTTTGAAGGAGGGTTCGACTATGTTCTGATAGATGTTAGCGCGGTGCTCGTCATCATATACTTAGTGAATGTATGTACTCACCTCCAGCATTTGCCCCGGTTGCTAAGTTGTCACATCAGTTCAGCACTTATCCATGTACCATCGTCACTCCACCATAGATGTACTCACCGTATCATGATTCGTAACAAACGTCTACACAAGACGCCCCATTAGTCTTTCCAAGTCCACCAATCAAGAGGAAAGATAACTCACCAACGCATTCCCCGGCCTAGCCTCCATCAACGTCCCCTTCAACACCCCCCTCAAATCCGCCCTCCTGGTTCTCGACAACCCCGAGAACCTCTCCACCAGCGGCACATCCACCACCGCAACCCGATACTCCATCTCCTCCAGATACCTCAGCAGCGCCCTCAACTCCCCACTCCAATACTCCCCAATGACAAACACCTTCCTATCCCCTGCCTGACATCTCACACAATCAATAAACTCCCTCTGAAACGCCGTTGAGAAATGCTTCGCCGCATCTAGCCGCATCCCACTCAGCGGCAGCACAGACATAATCCATTTCGCCCAGCGCAGCACATCCTCCCGAACCTCTGGGTGCGAGTAATCCAGATCCGCGAACATGAGGTAATCGTAGTTGCCGTTCTCATCTGTGCCGACATCCTGAGCCCAGTTCTTGTCCGGCCGGGAAGGGTCCAGGATCTTGTAGATTGCTTTGCGTTGGTGGGCGTCGTCCCAGTCTACTCCAGAGAAGTGGTGCCAGTGGTATTGCAGGGGACTGTAGGTGGTGCCCCGGCCGGGGAAGGTGAAAGATGTCCAGCCTGCAATTTCTTGGGGATCACCATCTTCAATATCTCGTCCTGAGGATACATGTCAGTAATCATGACCCTCACGCACGATAGATAGAAATGGGGAGAAATACGATCATCACCAACCCTCACACCCTCGAACCTCTCCACACCATCCGCTCCAGCCTTATGATTTAACACCGCATCCCATAATATCCCTACGTCCAGGGCACTCGCCTCCCTTACCAGATCCTCTAATTCCGCGCGCGTACCCCATTTCGTCCCCACCGCTCCCTTCTGATCAAACTCCCCCAGATCATATAAATCGTAGATATCATACCCGTTGCCGTTGGCATCCATGCCCTTGCATCCCGGTGGGATCCAGATGGTGGTTACACCGAGGGAGTGGATAGCGGGCAGGGCATGCTGGAGTCGGCGCCAGTGGCTGCGCTTATCTGGGGTGTTGGGGGTGGTAGGGACGTGCCATTCGAAGGCTTGAAAGAGAAGCGTGTTTTCCGTAGGGGAGTGCCATGACGGAAGGGATTCTATGGCGTTGGCTTTTTCTATTGATATGTTATTACTATGGGTTGATTTCTGGGTAACTGGGGGTGATTGGGTGGTCGCTAACCCTCTATTTGCTTTTGGGATTGAGTTTGGGATTTGGTGTGTTGTCGCCGGGTTTTGAAGCATGGGAGGAAGCTGAACATTTTGTTTGTCTGGGTTCTTGCTCTTCTTGTGCTTGGGGGTATTTTGTGGGTTTGTGGTGGTGGTGAGGATTTTTTTTACTGTGGCGAGGAAGAGGAATTAGCTAGTAGTTTACTGTGTTTGTGTCCATGTAGCTTGGATGGATGGTGGATGGTGGATGGTAGGTGAAGAGTAGATTGCAGCGACGGAGCTGAGCTCACAAAGAATGTTTAGAATAGCTAATGTGCCAACACTAAGAATAGCTGGCTTAGCTAGCTAGTCAGTTAGTTAACACGTTGTGCATGACTTCAGTTCAATTTTCTATGGGTCCTGAAGTGGGCCGTTTTGTCGCTGATGACCGAGTATTTTTAGCCCGGGCGGTTTTGCTCGGAACCCTACCGAGGCCGAACGGATTTGCCTCCAGATTAGTGTTGGGAGAAGATCAGCCAGCCACGGTGATCGTCAACAGCTGTTGGATGCAGGTACCCGTTTTGGCCATTGTCTGGATTTTAGTATGTAGGTGATCTATATATATATAGATGGTACTGGATTTTTAGTTGTCTCTATTCTGTTTATTGCTTAGTGCTGGATGACTAGTAACTAGTGTGGAAAAAGCGAGACGCGGTTACCGCGAGTATATGCAGGTGGTAGTGAATATTGTGAAGTGAATATATACAAAATACTAGGTAAGGGTATCGTTACTGCAAATACATACAAAGAACACTGAAACAGATAATATATCTCATCCCATCTGTAGCTATCAGCATATTACCACATCCCCACAAGCAGACCCGCCACCACAGACAGCACCAGGGAAAGCAAAGCATTGGAAGCTGCATCGGTCTTGATGCCCAGCGACAAAGCAGCCTCTGCTGCCGCTGCACCCTGCGTCTTCAAGGCGGCATAGGTGACATTCGCGACAGGAAGTCCGCACAGTCCACTGCCGGGCATCAGATCCGCCGGGAAGAACACGCGCGGCTCTCCTTTATCCATCGGAACCACGAGTTCACTCTGGGCATTGACCGTGTAGTTGATGCAGTTCAGAATCTCCGTCACGACCGTGCCGCCCGTGAAACTCACCGGCATCGAGAGGTTGTAAGCGCTGCTGTTGGTGCCCTGCGTGGATAGAAGCATGACCACTTGCCGGCCTTCGACTCCCTTGCGGAATCCCAGTTCACTGCCACCCTCGAAGACGGGGTACGTCTGAACATCCGGATAGTGATTGTCGAGTCGGTATGCGTGCTTCCGGATGGCATTCAACTTGCCGATCAATTTGTAAAGCTCAGAGTCGGTGTTGTACTCAGTGAGCCAGATCGCTTCTCGGTTCTTGGGACTGCCGGGGCCATCCAAATGCTGCTCCTGACCTTGATAAATCATGGGCACACCATCGGCGAGAAGAGTGAATGTAAGGATATTCTTCGCGAGCTAATGGGACAGAATGTTAGCTGGCGAATGCGTTTTAAGGGTTCATGGGTCCTTACAGCCATGTCCGGGTTCATGCTGGCAAATCGCGCGACATCGTGGTTTTCGGAGAACGAGGTTAAGGCGGTCACATCATGGCAGGAATTCTTCATCTCCTGGACTTGAGTGGCCAGGGCGCTGGTGTTGCCCAGGGTGAAGGCCTTCAACATGGCGTAGTAGACGGGATAATTCGGGAGACTGCCGATGTAGTTGTTCTGGTAATCGCAGATCGTGCTGACCTCTTGCTGCAGCACTTCGCCGGTCATGAAGATATCCACAGCATCGCCGAAATTCTTCAGAAAGCCTGGGTTCACATGCTTTGCTGCATCAATGCGGAGACCGTCAATGGAATAGGTGGATATGACATCCTTTGCCCAGTTGCTCAGCGTTTCTTGAACCTCGGCATGCTCGGTATACAGATCGGGCAGGGCCACGATGTTGTCACCGGTCTGGCACAGCTGGGCATTGGTGAAGTTATTCCAGTCGGTGATCTTACAGTACGGGTGATAGTAAGACGAGCTGTTGAAGGGGGTGAGGGTTGAGTAGTCGATGTGGGTGGCGGGGTCGGAGCCATTGGTGATGTAAGCCATGTTGTTGATGACCGTGTCCATCATCAGATACATGTCGCGAGCATGCAAGGCGTCACTCAGATCGAGCAGATCCTGATGCGTGCCAAAATGAGAGTTGAGGGAGTACAGATCCAAGGGCCAATAGCCGTGGTAGGCTTCTCCATACTCTACGCGACCTTCGACGTTTTCGATGATAGGGGAGATCATGACGGCATCAAAGCCCATTCCCTGGATGTAATCGAGGTGGTTGATCATGCCGCGCCAGGTGCCACCACAGTACAGACCCTCTGTAGTGTTGCAGGGGGAGGTGGTTGAGCCATCAGTGCGCGCGAAGCGATCCGTCATAGTCTGATAGACTGACCGAGACTTCCATTGCTCGGTGCTGGCAGCTAGCGACGACCCCAGCCAGCCAGCAAGATAGAGGACCCCAAGCCCGTGTCGCAGGGCTGACATTGAGACCATGGCTACAGTCACTGGGAAATGTAATTATGTCAATGATCCAGATGCTCACATGTACCTGCCGAGCAACTGCGGGGCCGACTTCGAGACACGATAAGGCGAATGTGGTATGCTGGGAGATAGCCGTTTACGCTAAAAAGGAAGGATACGGGCTCGGCAAGAGGTGAAAGAGTGACAAAAGAAGTGGGACCCAGATGTAGAGAAAGAATGGCGATGGTCAGATCCAAAGAGTGAAAAAATGAATGGCAAGGGAAAAAGCCCAGGAAGAGGGGGTCACTTCAGTGATGGATGCATTGGTTGATGTGACGAGAGCGAAAGAATGAGCGAGGAGGAAGGAAGGAAGGAAGGAAGGAAGGGAAAGGGAAGAAGAGGAGAAGAGAGGAGAGAAGAGGGGAAGCAAGAAGAAGTGGAATGCTGGGGAAGAGCTTGACTGAACATCAGGTGCAGGTGCAAAATGCCGGTGGAGCGAGCAGCAAGGGGACCGACCTCACTAACTGCATTCAGGCCGGATCCCCTGGATGGGGATGATAAACAGGTAAACTAGTCTGCTTTTTAGTTCAATTCGAGAGGGGACCAATGAGTGTGCAGTGCAGTGCATCTGGGTTAGTACTACTATCATATAACTCAAAGGTGGCGGGCGAAATTGCCACTCGGAGAAAAGGGTATAGATTGATAGATATGAGATGAATTATCCTCCTTATCATGATCACCACCATCTTCATCATCTGCCATGTGTGAAAGGCATCAGAGGCGTCGCCCAGATCCCTCGAAAGCCTGATCTTTAAGATTTTCCCGGAACCCCAGGGCGACTCCCGCGCAGGACCAGGAACCATTGATCCCTGCCGGTGGTGGCACCGAGGTTCCCTCTTGCAGCTTCCCCCAGATTATCTGACTAGAAGAATACCACTTCCTGGTTTGCCAGCTTGTCCTTCCCATTGGCTTCAAGAGAGGGGGCATTTCTCCTCACCCCCCTGCAGATGTCACCACTGGCGTCAACGGTGGCACGAGTTTCCCGGCGAAGGAATGGGCTTCTGGTCTCTCCAAGACCAAGCCTGTCACGCCGCCACGAGCTGGGGCTAATGCTTCTGCCAGGCACAAAGAGCGGCAGATGAGCCAACCGGCCATTCCGATGGGTCGGAATGGGGAAGAAGAGGGGGCCAGTGAGACATGTTCTTGACTAGTAGTTTAGTAGAACCATTCTGGTGTCTGCCCTACTTGGAATCTCCGGAAAGACACCGTTTTAGGCTATTTGGTGATCCAATGAAGATGGCCAGGGACTCCACCGCTGAACCCTGACCAAGTGAAGACTAGCCAATTAGTATAATTAGTTCATCAGGGGAACATTTTGTGAGCACTCGAGAATATGTGAGACAGTCAGACAACAGCGGATATACTGGTCCGAGAAAGCACGCAGCTGCTCCAACCCCCAAATTTTGGACGGAAATCGCGTGGGTGGACAAAGGGGAAATGAGAACGAGGGTAAAGCTTGGCTCAATCTTCTCGCCATGTTCCTTGACGGGTGACCCCAGATGCTTGGCAGGAGATAAGTGATTGAGATATTTTCCTCGTCTGCATAAGTTGACTGACTTCATAGACTTCATATCTAATGCAAGGTTCAGGCACACAGAGCAGCCCCGATAAGAGGAACACTGCCTGTCCGAGAGCAAATTTGATTTATCTTCTCATTATTCCTTTTTCCAGGCGAGCCAAGGTCCAACCGCCAGGGTCTTGGCGGCGGGCTTGGCTGGCAGGATTGGGAAAAGCGGCGTTGCCCGAATCACCAGCCTGGATTTCAAATTACCATCAGAACGCTGCAAGTTTCACAATACTGACAGTACCTTACCGCCAAGTGGGGACCAGGGAGCAAGAAAAAACAGGAATAAATCCTGATTATTGGAAACGGTGGTGTTGCTCGGAAATATTCTTGTTCGCTCTTTTGGGTGATCTCTGCCCTGGCTGATAATCAGTTTGCAGGAGACCATTGGCCAGCGAGGGATGGAAATAAAACCAAGTAAGACATGCATGGCCCGATTTCTCGTAGTGTGGTGTATCCGATCAGACCTTTAGCAGAAATCAGTAGTAGTCACCACTTAGGTCCTTCGTTAGTCCTCCGCGAGACTCAAAGAAGACTAGTCCCGTCTATCTAACTCGGTTCTGTGCTGTGTAAATTGTGAAAAGATAGCACACCGGGATGCCAAGGGTCCAAACTAGTCTACTTAGTAGTAGACCCTCTCTCTCCAAAAACCCAAGGTGGCTGCCAGCCTCACGGGAACCCGACCAAAGACCATCCAGATTTGAATCTGCGATCCCGTAAATCCTTCGCCGGAGACCCACTCCCGCCTGGCCAGGATGGCCTCCGTGGCTCCAACAAAACATTCTGGCATCTTACTGACTTTGTGTACCTTACGGGTCTGTGTGGCCTCGAAGGAGTGGAAAGTAGAAGTAGTATGCTTCTGCAGGGGCGAGCGTTGTTTATGGATGACATGCTGATCATTCCTCAGGCTCGTTGGAAAGAAAAGAATATAAGTGGCAAG